ATAGAATCAATCAAATCATACACTGCCTTGCATGGTCAAGTCAACACAAAATAGAGTTACTGTGCACTCTTCTCTAAATAGCAATTAAAATATGTTTATTTTTTAATATTATTTCTATATCATATGTTATTAAGAATAGTAGTTATACTTAACAAAAATAGTCTAACAATTGCATACAGAGACGTGCAGGGTCTCCAATACATGAGAATAGATGAGAAAACAAAAGTTGTGTAGGAAATGGAAAAAAAATTGATGGATCCTATCCAACCCATGCGTCCATCAGTCTTATCTCCCGTGAGTCATGCGGGTTTTCGGGGCGGTGCCTACTATAATCGCTAGTTTTTTTTCTCGTGTTGAGTTGGATGATTTTCTCTAATTTTTTTTTAGAAATGATAGTTTTTTTTCTCATGTTAAGTTAGACGGTTTTCTCGAACTGTTTTTAGAAATAGCGATTTTTTTCTCGTGTTGAATCCAATTGTTTTTTTTACTCGTTTTTTATAAACGGTGTTTTTTCTGATAGTTTTTCCAGAGCGGGTTGTTTTTTATGAATGGTGTAGTAGATGGAAAAAAAATCAATGGATCCTATCCAACTCAAGCGTACATGAATTTAGCATTTTTCTGACAGTTTTTCCAAAGCAGCTTGTTTTTTTATATATAGACGGTGTTTTTTCTTGCGCAGTTTTTTCAAACCATTTTTTAGAAATGGCGCATTTTTTTCTGATAATTTTTTCCTCGCATGTTTTTTTTAAAAAAATTTACGGACGATGGAAATATTTTTTCTCGCATGTTTTTTTATTTTTTACGAAAGATGGGAAACCTTTTATAGCGTGTTTTTTTTCCTTTTTTCTAACTTTTTTCTCACGCGTTTTTATTCTCTCGTGCACTTTTTGTTTTTAGTTGTACGATAAAAACTTCTCCTTTTAAATAGTTAGGTTAGATTAAAGATAGAGAAGAGATACATACGGAAATGAATACAAATTGGACTTTTTTCCCGTCTTTTTATTTTTTTTTCTCACGCGTTTTTTTTATTTTATACGAACTTTTTTCTCTACTTTCTTAGGGAATCGGACGGACTTTTTTTATTTTTTTTTGGGTTTTTTTTGCCTTTATAGGAATATTTTCCCTCTTTTTAAAGGAATCCGATCTAGCCTTTTTCTTGCCACTTTTTTTTGTTTTTCGCCTTCTTTAGGAATCGGATTTTTTCCAGTTCGGATCTACGGATATTTTTCGCCACTTAGGTGAAACAGACTGTCAGGGTTATGGATACCACATACCTAATAGTAGTTGACTAAATCTCGGCAGGACCCACCACATACCATGTCTTATACGGAAACAACCTTCGAATATAGGAGGAGTTCCGCATAAGGAATGATGAATAGAGTTATACATGGAAACGACAAGGACTACTTGGATTATATTCATATTGGTTTCCCTAGTTCTACTTGGACAATAGGACACCTATGGGTATAAATACAAGGCCCTCTAGGAGGAGAGGGGACACAGAACAATAGATCAAGACACAAGATCAACATACAAGCCAACATGTGCCAAGATAAGACGCCGGATATCGACTTCAGAGATAAGCATGACTAGTCCCCCACGGTATCTACGGATATTGTCAGGAGAGACAGCACTGTCTTTGATCTCGCCGGATGCAGATTCGAGGAGGAAGGCTACCCTATTGTCGACTACGAGTCAGAACTTCAAACCGCCAAGTTGACAACAGTTAGATAGGCTACCCCAAATATGGTACTGGTGTGATTATGGTGAATAAGAGTAACGACCGACTTCAACCAATAGGAGTAGGGTTATTACCTGACAATTCAGGGGTCCGAACCTGTATAAAAATCATCGTCTCCATCTCTTTTACCTCAATCTCGCATATATCCTAATACCAACGATCCCCATACCATGTAAATACCGGAATCGCGACATCAAACGTCGACACAGACCTCTTTTATTTTTGTTGTTTTCTTCGCTATTTTTTCTCAGATTTTTTCCCCATTTTAAGGGGGAATTGGATCTACGTTTTTTTCGCCACTTTCTAAGTAGTAGAGATAGAGATTTACTTTTTAAGATTTAGAAATTATAGATCTACTTTTTAAGTAGTAGAGATAGAGATTTATGTTTTGAACCTACTTTTTAAGTAGTAGAGATAGAAATTGTTGACACTTTTTTTATGGCCAACACAAGATCACCTAACGATTTGTGATTTAATCGACGGAGTCGTCAAAATCGATAGATCAAAACTAGCCGACTAAACCGATTTTGAGATTAATTCACTTTCGTATAATCACACGGCTAATTTAAGAGCAAATTAGCAAAGAAGGTAAATATCGTACTTATGTGACGACGAACTACTAATTTCCGAGCAAACTAGCAAAGGATAACCTCGTCTCTTTTATGGAAAAGCACGACCATTTTTCAGCACAAAACGGCAAATATTAACCAAATTCTAGGGTTACTAGAACTCATCCATGAAAGTAAAATAGAAAATAACGAAAAAGTAAAGAACGAGAGAAATAGTATATCCATAAATTGTTCGAGGCTTTTCAATTAACCGTACACCCGCATATATACGCAGGTAGCATGGTCATCGGTCCAACACAAAAATAGCAAGGTTCAAACAAAAAGGAAACAAACTGTTAAGATGGAAAATCTATCGGCTCTAGTGTTTGGCTTATTCGGCATATTCACAAATGAAAAATAATTTTGTGAATAAAACTTTTATATACGTGTTCTTAGTGATCTAAAAGCAAATGTTGATAAATAAATTTTGATAAAAAAACATTAAAATCAGCTTCAAATTGAAGGTTAAAAATTTAAATTTTGGCTGATAAGTATAAGCATACGTAAACAAGAGATGAGGCCGCATATCTTCCTAGCAGCTGCACACGCTAATCATATCGCATCGTTTACAAACCGACGCCACAACTGCATATCCTTCACGCAGCCGCACACCAATGCCATGCTAATACGGCTCTCGCGCACGCAAGCGATTAAGGGAGAAGTCAAGTAGATTAGGGAAAAAAATGCCATGCTAATATGGCGCACGCAAGCGAATAAGGGAAAAGTCAAGCAGCAGCACGCACGTATATGATCATCAGCCCCAAAAGCTCCCCAACGGCAGCAAATTTTTGCCGGCAACCAACTGCACAGGTCTTCACCTCTCAATCTACATGCAAATAGTACCAACGCAAAAACCTTCCTTAAATGTGGTTAAACTTAGCTGACCCATAGCAAAAGAGTCTGTAGCCTAATGGTTACAAGAGCCTCAGTAGCACTTAAGGTCTTAGATTCGACTACCCATGAGAGCGAATTTTTCAGGATTTAACAGCGTTGTGCTTTCAGTGGTAAGCGACGTACCCGTCGACAGCGGCCCAGTCTTCGAAGATACTCATAGGGGTAGGGTTTGCGTGCGTGTATTCATAGGAGTGAGTGCGCGTGCGTTATAAGTGTCTGCGTTATACTGTCTAATTCTTGAAAAAAACTTAGCTGACCCATAATATCTCTATGTCACAAGATAAATGCTAAGCCTCCCAGCAATCACACACATTTAACCAACCACTCGATAAAAAATGAACTATCAGAAACCAATTAGGACGATTTGTTAGTTTCCAAATTTGATAGCAAATTAATAGTATTTGAATGGAAAATGAGATTTTCTTATGTCAGAGAGGTCGACACTAAAATGATTGATGGTTAGGTTCAGCGCGATTGTATTTGGCGCCGATATAGGGTGCATATACGCAACAAGTTTTCTCGCAATCTGTTTATAAAATATGTTCTTTAAAAGGACTAAATGGCAAACATCACGTAGATCTGCTTCTCTCATCATACGACATCGCAACTACCTGTGCGAGAGTGCATCAGTAGTACGTAAACAAATATAAATCAGGCCGGGAGATCTATTACATCAAGTACAATGCAAATGCACGCCTGGAAACACATCTCATGCATAAAGATATACAAAGCCGAGTTGACAAACTTACGAGCCTTTGGATACGACAAATGGTCCAAATGGATTGTTAGACCAACACAATGCAAGCCTGCAAGGGACACCAGATCAAGGTCATCACCACCTGATTGGCGAAAAACTTCAGGAATACTGTTGCATACTGTTGAGAGCGCTATCACGATTGGTAAAGGGACATTAGAAAGCATCACATCAATGTTACCCCATCACAAAGAGATCGATCAGAATAATGGTCGTTGTCAAACAAGCTTCAATTTCACACCCAGGTCAGCTAGCAGAGCACAAATATGGGTTGACAAAATAAGTAAAACATCAATTTTTATTCCTAGTTCATTTTGTATACAGTACTCGCGTTTGTTTAGTGAGAAGAGTATAGAATAAGGCCAAATTGGACCATTTGATACTCATGTGTCCCAATGCCCCTTGTTATGTCGGTTCAATGACTTTTAATACCACCACCAACAACTCACCACAAAAAACTACTCCTACATTACTTATCGGTTATCACAAGCATAATGCTTGTCAGGTTTGCACACCCCGAGCACAAGTTGACATGATTAACAAATTTCACAACTCTTTGCTGCCAAGCTTTCAGAATCGGTCACACCAGCACAAAATGCACTAAGGGTGTGTTTAGTACGTTGGGTGTAAAGTTTTTTATATACGGACACAAATTTGAAGTATTAAACGTAGACTAATAACAAAAAAAAATTACAGATTCTGCATGTAAACTGTGAGACGAATTTATTAAGCCTAATTAATTCATCATTAACAAATGTTTATTGTAGCATCACATTGTCAAATCATGGCGTAATTAAGCTCAAAAGATTCGTCTCGCAATTTACATGCAAACTGTGCAATTGGTTTTTTCCAACATTTAATGCCCCATGCATGTGTCCAAATATTTAATGTGACGTTTATGGCAAAAAAAAAATTAGTATCTAAACAAGGCCTAATTCTAGGATGTTCTATCAGCTCATTGTTTTCTGCCCAACCAACACAAATTGTGAACCTTAATCACAAATTTTGTCGTAGAAAACAGAACTGTTATAACTACGTTCACTCAAGGAACTACAAAAGCCTTACAAGGGAATTTGCCTATGCCTCTCCTAAACAACTCTTCTGATTACATGATGCAGAACATTTGGTATGCACACCAATCTCCACATGTATAAAAATTACAGACCCTGGCAATTATATGTCAGGTTTGATTCTTCAATATGCCAGTGATCCACAATTACCAGAGGATAGAAAACACCAATTTCTGAGTATTGTACAATAACTCAAATGTGTATGAATTTTCACCAAACATATCAAATTGCTCTATCAAATCCTGGTAGGCTGCAGTGATATGAAAGTCTTCTGAGCACCGGTTGTGTTCCAGACTTCCAGGGTTCAACAACAGAACCTACACCAGACTATCATCTTATGCCAGCAGAAGGGCATGTAAGAGCAAGTGACTAGCAACCCCCATAACAGCCTGTGGGCATCAAAACAGACAGATCTCCTGGCAAAGTTATGTCTAACAAGGCTATGAAACATTTCCTTCGCTGCTCTTTGAGTCTTTGACAGGTTAATATACAGGCCTCTCAAATCAGAACAGATGGCTCTGGTCTTCTTACAAGTCAACGTTCCCCCTATGGAAAAGCAGAACCACATACTATCCGTTAATAAAGAACTGTTCCTGATGGTAAAAATACACAATTAAAAATCTGTTGTTCAGTACATGAAACAGATAGGCACAAGGATGATGATTCTTTAAGAAGTATGTTAAAATTTACCAACTCTTTCTGTTATACTTACACTTTAAAGGCACCTGCTATTCCTATTCATTTTGACCAAAAAAAAAGAGACGAGAACAAGCAAAAGATTTGCTTGTCTTTTGTACAAGTAGAGAATGATTTATAATCTGCACTTCCATCACTCAGAAGAACAGCATTACCACCTATTACACAGTACAAATTTTAAAAGTTGAATGTTTTTTCCGAGACGCATTATGGTATTTCGAAGGTACCAAATGCCCTTTATATTTCTCCTAACACCTCCTCTGCTCTGGTTCTGCTATTTCTTTGTTTGCTCCTAAAGTCCTAAGTTTGTAGGAATGCCTCTAGGCCCTAGTTCCTGGCCTTGGGTTGCCATGCCGCTATTCATCGAGACAAAAAAAGGTCATCTTGAACAATTCAACATTACGAGATGTTCTCAAGCGTTCAGCAATAAGTCAAAACGTGGACACTAACTACTATCAACCACAGCATATCACAACAAAATATACAGCTGAATACACAGCTTTTTTACATCAAAACAAAAACAATTATAGATGTAATACAACAGTAGGGAGATAAGCCTATTCTTAGAAGTTTAACAATTAGAGTATAGTGTGTGGATTGACATGTATGAGTTATCACGTGTTGCCCCGAGGCCATTTCACATCAAAATAAACACATACAGTTCACATTTCATAAACCTATCAGGCAAACAGATAACCATATTCATGTACGAAATATGGCTGCAGTGCTGCATCATTGGGTATAGAATTTTAGTTGATCTCAATGTCTTGTAAAAATGGATTTTCAAAAGTCTATTGGTTCAGATAGACAGAGCGCAAGCACATAGCATGAGCGTAGCTACCTACAAAACCCAGACTTATTATAAGAGTAAGAGAATAGATGAGTTCCAAAATTTTTTTTGCAATTACTTAAGTTTCAGTTATGGAACAATGGAAATTAGCACAGCAGAGAAACCATCATTTCAATTTTGTTTGCATAAGGGTTGTTGAAAGAAGCAATGTGTTTCTAGCACAACTCCCATTCAGCTCTAGTTACATGAATTGCCAATAGCAGCATGTAACAGAACACAAATCATGTATGACAATGCCAGAAATTTAATAACGTTATAGCAAATCAAACAAATACTCATAACAGGATATAACAGCCATAAACAATAGCTTACCTTAGCGAACTAATTGGATTGTACTGTGGCACAAGCTTGCTGAAATGCATCTCTTTTTTCTTTACATTAAACCCCTTTTTTTTCACTTATACATTAAAAGAGAACAAATCATCTTGAACCACTCAACATAACAAGATGCTCAATGGTTCGGCAATTTAACTAAAAAGACATCTTGGAACTAAATATGCACCGATCGTAAAGATCAACTGGTGCGATGAACAAGAAGCACATCACATACTGCCAAATACCAATATCAGTCTATACCTTTTCTTTTTTAGTCTAAACATAAGGGATTATATGTAACTGACAGCACAGAGAAAAACTTACTCTCAGCATTTTGACAAGGTATCAAAGACAATATCAAGGGACCTAATGTGCGATACAAATGATTATATGTCTCCCTGAGTGCAGTTTTCATGACCGGAATGCGCACTTGTGAAGTACATAGCGTGCTACCAAACAAGTCTAGTATAATCTGCGGGCTCGAAAAGCATCGGCAGGCAATGTAGGATTTTATGGGAATAGCAACTGAAGATGTGGATACTGACGGAATCAGCATAACTCAATTAGCAGTAACTCAAAAACACATCAACGATTCTGTCCTCCAAACCCAAGTGCCCCCAAAACCTACCACAAGCGATCCCGATCAGATCCTTGCCGAGGACGGGCGGCGCAGGTTCGCGCGGCGAGGGGCTGGCCGGAGAAGACGAATCCCGGCGACGGCGACCGGAAATCCATGGACGAGCGGAATCTCGCGCGCCGCACGGGCTACCGCCTCGATCAACCACCGCCGGAAACGCGATAGCACAGTGGAGATAGCGTTGGGGGATCAACCAGGCGTAGATGCGGAGGCGGAGGCGCCGGCGAAGCAGCCGACCTCACCGGCAAATGGCCGCGCGAGATCTCCATGGCCGTAATAACCGCCGCCGGCAACGCAAGGTCAAAGGATATCATGCGGCATTTGGGCCCCACTTCTATGGCCCATGTAGCAGTTCAGCATTGAGAGAGAAAATCACCCCCCAAAAAAACAAAAAAAAAAAGTAAAGTGCATTGGCGGTACTTAAACTTGTAGGTTGTGTCATATAAATTCATAAACTCTCAAAATGCATATCCAGGTTCCAGAACTTGTCAAAATGTATCATCTAGGTCCCAAATTGACACATTCCCTCTATGATCCTATGTGGCGCTGATGTGGCAATGCCACATGGACGTGACTTGTCTTTTTTTTTCTTCTTTCCTTTTTCTTTTTCATTTTCTTTTCATTCTTGTTTTTTTCCTTTCTTTTGCACGGATCACAGAGAAAAGGAGAATAAAGGGAAAAAAATAAAAAGGAAAAAAATAAATGGGTATCATTTATCAGTCAAAATAATGCCACGTCATGTCTGTGTGGCATGCCACATCAACGCCACATAGGATCATGAAGGGGTTGTGGCAATTTGGGACCTAGATGACACACTATGACAAGTTCTGTGACTTGGATATGCATTTTGAGAGTTTAGGGATCCAGATGACACACCCATACAAGTTTAAGGACCGCTCATACACTTTACTTAAAAAAAATATATATGGCTTTTGGCGGAACGCAAGCTTCCAGATATAAGCTTTTCGGCGTCGGCGTCGATGGCGAGCGGCGTAGAGACTAGAGAGACGCCACTGCTGCTATCCATGATGAGAAACGCCGTTCGCCGGCGACGGCGTCAATACGCATGGATCCTACGATGTACTCAAGCTGAAAATTACTACAAAATAATCTGTTTTTTTTTTCTTTTGCGAACACCATACAATACAAGCACCATACTTTCAACTTGGGATATTTGAAGTATCAAGACTCTTGACAAACGCTCGTCGATTAAGCCGACCGGTCATTAATCGAACAAACACGACAGCCAAACAAAACATACAGAACGAGACACTCAGACACTGATATGATCATACGTAAGGTGATACCTTCAAAGCCTGGGTGATACACACAAACTCTACAAGAAGTAGTAGTGCACACAATTTCCAGGGACACAAACACGAGCAACAAGCTAGAGATCGACGCCAGCGGACGGTGATGCGGTCGGACAGGGGCTTGTGCATGAACATTTGACGGACTTACCACAGCAGCGCCGCCACCGATATCCCGACGGCGGCGAGGAGCGGCGGGACGGCGGTGTATAGCAGCTTCTTGCCGGCGGCACGGCGGGCGGCCGGGTTGTCGGCCACCCAGATTGAAGCGCCGACCAGGGCGACCCCGCCAAGGAAGGCCCCGGTGAGCGTGAGGCGGTAGAAGGTGTCGGCGACGAGGCTACCCGGCGGCGGCTCGAGCGCTGCGGCCAGAGCGGCGGTGGCCGCGGAGACGGTGGCGATGCCGACTGCCCCCAACGTGGCCTCCGGTTCCCGGCGATCAGCACCCGCCGGAAGCTGTGGCGCCATCTCTTTCGCTAATCCCTCCCCAAAATGGACAATCTCCCGACCGGTTCCTAGCTGATCAATGATTCGATCCTCTCCTTAATGGATCTAGCTATGAATTAGAGGGATCTGCGGTGAATCAGGGACGGGACGGGGTGGGCTAGCTTCCGAGTTCCCAACTATGAACGTGGAAGTATATATATTGTGCGATGCGCGCCCCCTGCGGCTTCCAGCTTCCTGTGTGTACGCGGGATGCGCGCAAATAATTTCATGGAAGTTCTCCGTTCTGAACTTTGACGAAGGGTTAAGATTAAATGGATGATGGATAATGAATGGTTAGGATTTAAAAATGGGTGGGAAATTATTTCCCTTAGACATTTGCCAAACACTGCCAAAGCGTCGGTGACGTCACCCTCCATTTATGTCCCTCCCTCTATTCGTGGTATGTGTCGTTACTGCTGTGATTATGATGGTGATGTTTAATACTATAATATCTAATCTAATGTTCTTTGTGTATGATCCATGGTGGTTTCGTGTAATCTACTGTTTTTTCATGTATTCATGTCCCTGTGATGTTTAATAAATTAGGCGGGTCGTTAAAGTATGCAGTAGTACTCCTGGTTCCTGTGATTGCCACAACGAAGGGCCTGTAATTAATTTCTTTTCTAATTCAGGATTCTGGATTGTCGCGGGCATGGTTTCCAAGTTCCAAGCTCCTAAACAATGTGTTTTGTGTAAAATTAATTGGTAAAGAAACATTAGAAACATCACATCAAAGATGCAGGTCATCAGCACAAATGGGTTGACAAAGAATCATCATTTAGTCCCTATTTCATTTTTGTATAAAGTACTCGTATTTGTTCTTCTCTTTTTGAGAGGTACTCGTATTTGTTTAGTGAGAAGAGTATTGAAAAAATTGGGCCATTTGAGACTCCTGTGTCTCGATTCCCTTAGTATCTCGGTTTAATTTGCGTCTCCACCACAGAATCAGCTCTAAACCAAACATACCATCACCAGCTCACCTGAAAAACTATAGGCATAGCACCTATCAGTTATCACAACCATAATGGCTGTCAGGTTTGCACACCCGGGCACAGGTTTAAGTTCCAAGGTTTTTAATTTTGAAACTAAGATTTCTGCCGCAGGTGGGTGATAGAACCGAAATTTCTGAGTTTTTTTTTATTTTTTTCGTACAATTTTTTTTGAATTTTTGACTGATTTTGAATAAATTTGACCAAATTCGGAAAAAAAAAAGCAAAAAACCAAAATTTTGGGCGATATGTGAGCATTTCGGTTGGGGGGGGGGGGGGGCGGGGAGTTTCGAACCCTGGGTTTAACAAGAGTAGCAAAATTCACAGCTGCAGGAAAAAAATGCTGAACATTGCCCTTGCTGCCAAGCTTTCAGAATCAGTCGCAACAGCGCAATGCATTCAACTCTAGGGTGTTTTATCAGTGCTTTTTTTTTTTCTGCACAAAAGACAGGAATTGTAGACACAGTTTAATCATAAATGTCGTCATAGAAAACACTACTGTTATAACCATGTTAAACTATCAAGGAACTACAAAAGCCTTACAAGAGAATTTGCCTATGCCTCTTCTAAACAACTCTTCTGATTACATGACATTCCAGAAAATTAGTACACACACCAGTCTCCACATATACAAAAATACAGACCATGGCAATTATACGTTAGGTTGATTCCTCGTTATACCAGTGATCCATAATTACCGGAGGATAGAAAACACCAACTTCAGACTACTGTACGATCGCTCAAATGTGCATGAATTTTCACCGAACGTACCAAACTGCTTGATCAAGTCCTGATACCAGGGTTTAACAACAGAACCTCCACCATGCTACCATCTTATGCCAGCAGAAATGCATTTAAGAGAAACTGAGCAAATGTTTAACAATGCCATAGCAGTCTGTGTGCTTAAATAGAGAGATCTCCTGGCAAAGTTATGTATCACACAGCTATGACGCATTTCTTTTGCTGCTCTTTGACAGGTTATACATGCCTCTAAAATCACTAAATCAGAGCTGATGCATCTGGTCTTCTTACAACTCAACATCCCCCTACATAAAAGAAGAGCCATATACTATCCGTTAATAAAGAGCTGTTAGAGATGGCAAAAATACATGTGCAAATCTGTTGTTCAATACATGAAAAAGATAATGGCACAAGGATGATGATTCTTTCAGAAGTATATTAAAATTTACCAACTCTTTCCATTATACTTGCACTTTAAAGGCACCTGATATTCCTATTCATTTTGACAAAAAAAAGTAGATAAGAATAAGCAAAAGATTTACTCATCTTTTGTACAAGTAGAGATTGATTTACAATATGCAATTCCATCACTCAGAAGAACAGAATTTAACCACCTATTACATAGTACAAATTTTAAAGTTGAATATATTTTACGAGATGATTTATGGTGTTTCAAAGGTGCCAAATGTCCTCTGCTCTGGTCCTGCTACGTCTTTCTCCGTTTGCTCCTAAGTTTCTAGGAATACCTCTAGGCCCTAGTGCTCTTGCCTTGGGTTGCCATGCCACTATTCATCAAGACAAAAAAGGTCATCTCGAGCAATTCATAAGAGTTAAACATTACGAGATGCTCTCAAGGGTTCAGCAACAAGTCAAAACACGGACACTAACTACTATCAACCAGAGCATATCACAACAAAATATACAGCTGAATACACTGCTTTTGACATCAAAACAAAGGAATTATAGATATAATAGAACAGTAGAGGGATAAGACTTTTCTTAGAAGTTTAACAAGTAGAGTATAGTGAAAAGAGAAAAGGGCATTAAGAAAATATCTCAGGACCTAGTGTATGGATTGACATGTATGAGTTATCCTGCGTTCCCCTGAGGCCATTTTCACATCAAAATAAACACAGAGTTCACAGTCCATAACCTATCAGGCAAAGCGATAGCCATATTCATGTATGAAATATGGCTGCACCATTGGGCATAGAAGAATTTTAGTTGACCTCAATGTCTTGTGCAAATGTATTTACAAAAGTCTATTGGTTCAGCAAAAGAACAGATGAGTTCCTACAAATTTTGCAATTACTTAAGCTTCAGCTATGGAACAATGGAAATCAGCACAGAAGAGAAACCAGCCCATTAATTTTGTTCGCATAAGGGTTGTTGAAAGAAGCAATGTGTATCTAGCAAAAATCCCATTCAGCTCTAATTACATGAATCACCAATAGCAGCATATAATCAAGTACAAATCACGTATAACAATGCCATAAATTTAATAACTTTACAGCAAATCAAATAAATACTCAGAGCAGGATATAAAGGCCATAATAGCTTAGCGAACTAATTGGATTGTACTATAACACATGGTTGCTGGAATACATCTCTTTTTCTCTTCCCATTAGGAGGGGACAGCCCTCGTTTTTTACTTCCATTAAAACAGAACAAATCATCTTGAACCACTCACAAGAAGATCAACATGACAAGATGCTCAATGTTTCAGCAACTTAACTAAAAGGGCATATTGGGACTAAATATGCACCGATAGTAAAGATCAAGTATTGCGATTAACAAGAAGCACATCACACACAACCAAAGACCAATATCAGTCTTTAAACATAAGGAATTACTAGACGTAACTGGACAGCACAGAGAAAAGCTTACAATTTGCATTTTAAGCAGCATACTGAAGAGAAAATGGTATCTACGACAATATTTGGGGACCTAGTGTGTTGGATCGCTTGATACAATTGATAATATGTCTCCCAGGGTCTATTTTTCATCACAGGAATGCGCTTTACATAACCTACCACGCAACGCAACTGCTGAGATTTTAGGGATTATGGGAACAATCAGCATAACTAAATTAGCAAGGAACTCAAAGTCAAAGCACATCAACGATGCTGTCCTCCAAACCCAAGTGCCCCCCAACACCTACCACAAGCGATCCCGACCAGATCCTGGCCGAGGTCGGCCGGCGCAGGTTCGCGCGGCGAGGGGCTGGCCGGAGAAGACGAACCCCGGCGATGGCGACCGGAAATCCGTGGACGGGCGGAATCTCGCGCGCCGCACGGGCTACCGCCTCGATCAACCACCGCCGGAAACGCGATAGCACAGTCAGTGGAGATAGGGGTGGGGATCAATCAGGCGTAGATGCGGAGGCGGAGGCGGAGCAGCCGACCTCACCGGCAAATGGTCGCGTGAGATCTCCATGGCCACCGTAGCCGCCGCCGCCGCCGCCGCCGGCAACGCAAGGACAAAGGTCATGGATATGATACGGCATGTGGGCCCCACTTAATATGGCCCACCCTTCCCTCTCTTCTAACAGTTGCCCCCCAAAAAAAAAGGAAAAGAAAAAAAAAAGGAGAAAAAGATGGGCTTTTAGCACCAGAAGGACACGACGGCCGACAAGGCAAACTTCCAGAACTATTCAGCGTCGGCGGCGACGGCGAGCGGCGCCGATATGCATGGAGTACTCCAAATCCACTCTTCCCTAAATGTAATTAAGCCAAAAACTAGTACTGCATAGCTCCCCTTTGAATCACCATACTTCAAATTGGGAGATATGAACTCATAATTTTTTTGAAAATTCACCCGGGGGGGAGAGCTTCCCCACCTGAATCCATTAATAGCAAAGAAAGTACAGAGAGTCCAATTATATATCGAGGGAGCGGATAGAAAAGGAGAAGAGAGATTTCCACGCCGAGATTACATGTCTGTCATCTAACTTAAGTCTCTCAGCCCACGCCGAGATTTCCACGCCGAGATTATATGAACTCATAATTAACAAAACACTCGTCGATTAAGCCGGCCATCAATCGAATAACACTTTGACAGACCAAGAACAGAAGGAGACGTGATCATACATAGGTGATACACACAATGGACTAGAATAAGAAGCAAACACTATTACATGATGATACTACAGCTCCACGAGACACAACCACGACGCAGCGATCGACCAATAAAACAAACAATATGAAGAATTAAGGTTACATTTGATTGACATAAGGAGAACGCTAGGGACGGCCGGCTTGGCTCCGATCATGGCGGATAGTAATGCGGTCGGACAGGGGCTTGTACATGAGCGTTAATTTGAGAGGCTTACCAGAGCAGCGCCGCCACCGATAGAACGACCGCGGCGAGGAGCATCGGGACGGCGGCGTAGAGGAGCTTCTTGCCGGTGCCACGGCGGGCAGCTGGGTTGTCGGACACCCAGACTGAAGCGCCGACCAGGACCACCCCGCCAAGGAAGGTCCCTGCGAGCCCGGCGACGGCGAGGTGGTTGTAGGTGGTGGTGGTGCGGAGGCCGCCCGGCGCCGGCGGCGGCTGGAACGCTGCGGTGGCCAAAGTGGTGGCCGTGGAGATGGCGGCGACGCCGAGCGCGCCTAATGCGTCACTCACCTCATACTGTGCCGCCATTTAATCTCTCGACTGATTGAGCCGCTCCTTGGACCTGGATGAAGTAGAAGAGAGAGATCGATCGGTTGGGAGGGAGTTGGTTGCTGGAGATGTGCAACTCAAATGCGCTATATATGGACGGCATGGTACTGGACCCCGGACCTCCTAGAACATAAAGTGGTCCTAACTCATCTAAAATGGTCATAGCACATACTGTAATAACAACAAAAGTGGTCCTAACTCATCTACCTGGTCGCGGGACGTGTTGTAACAAAAAAATACGGCATGGTACTGGATCTCCTCGAACAGAACAAAAAAAAAAGTGAGAAAGAAATCACATTGAGCACATGGCATCGCGGCGCCAAATCTACTCCCACTGACACAGCGGGACCAGAGACCAGAGGCCAGAGGCCCTAATCGTCCGCTAGTGGAAGGAAATTGCTGGTAGTAGTATTGACGACGTCTTTATCAACGAAGCTTCGTGCCAACCCGCTCTTCCTTCTCCAGTTTGCTTCAACCCGATTATTTCCCGTCGGGCGTCGGGCCGTCGGCTACACGTTGGGGACGCCATTTCACCGGCTTTTTTTTTTTTTTTTGCGGGGGGCATTTCACCGGCTTTTGTGTCAGTTGGAGCAAATTCAACCCAGAAATCAATGAAGCTTCATTCTAGAGGTGATGCCTAGGCAAATAAGACAAAACAGTTTACTAAAGAATAAAAATTAATTTATAGGTAAAATTTTTACTGCCTTTATTCTAAAATATGTATAGCTGTCAGTTACCGTGTCCAATGTTTGACCATCCGTTTTATTTGAAAAATATTGATGATTAGTATTTTTATTGTTATTAGATGATAAAACATGTATAATATTTTATATGTGACCAATTTTTTTAAATAAGATAGACGGTCAAATATTGGACACGGAAACCAACAATTACGCTTATATTGGGACAGAGGTAGTATATATTTATTTGTAACAACCTAAAACTCAACGCTAAAGGCTTGGTTTTAAGAGCTTTCTTCGGATAGCACTACGGCTCGGACGTTCGATATCTCACCAAATATCGGACGCCCAGCCAAACACCGAGCGTATGTGCATGTGCATGTTGCCGCACTTTATTCTTCACTCCTCAATCATGAAGAATCTTCTCATCTGACGTCCCATGTCCTAAAGAAAATTGGTTGGTCAAATGTTCTAGTTGACCATTGAGTGAAACATCAAATTATATATGGTGAAACAAAAAATCAGCAACTGAAACATTTAAAAATTTTATGAAACATGATGAAGATATACGTTGAAACATATCGCTATCACATATGAAACAATAGTGTTAACGGATTGAAACATATGTTTTTCTTTCATCAAAATATAATCATGTGATATCTTGTTGTAAAGATTTAATTACAACGAATACAACGGTGTGACCGAATCATAGATTGGATAATTAGTTTATGAGAAAAATTATTTTGAAGCTCGCTAAAATGCATACATGCATGCATGTTTGAGGTGGAGAGAGAGTAGTGAGATATAGTTTCATGAAATTTGTGAAACATGCATAAGAGACATATTGAAACATATCTATCACTATCGCGTATGAAACAAAGAGTGTTAATGGATTGAAACATATGATTATTTTTAATCAGAATATAATCATGCGACATCTTGTTGTAAAGATTTAATTACAACAAATACAACAGTGTGATCGGATTGTAGATTGGATTAGTAATTTACGAGAAAAAAAATGTTTTAAATATCGTTAAAGGTACATGTGTGTAGGCTTGAAAGGATGTGTCAGAGTCAGCCCGTCCAATTTTTCTCCTTCCGTCCGGACGTCCGAGTTGAAGCATTAACGGTTTTCTTCTCAAATCAACCTATATTCGGACGATGTTATCGTTCCGTTGACTTGTGTCCTTCTCAAAGGCTTGGTTTTAAGAGATTTCTCTTGTTAGATTGCTATTTTTAGATTTAGTGTATGGTTTTGACCAGTTTTCCATAATTAATAAGATTTTAGGTCTGACTTTTCCTATAAACTAGATAACTCTCTTCTCCCTACCCGTTCCCTCAAAAAAAAAAAAGGGGCGGACTAAGGCTTATTTATATGCCAGTAAATCGGTAATATGGCGATGCAGAGGCTGAACGGTAGGCGTGAAAAAGTACACTCACTTGAGACAACTGTCGCTAATCCGAGTACTCGATCAATAGGGGGAGAAATAGATTTTGTAAATCACCAATCAGAAAAAACAACATTCCGAGTAGCAATTCTAAGGCTTACGGACCTTAAGAAATGTGTAATACAGCTTAGAAACCATAAGTTTGTGTTCCTTGCAATTTTATCGAATTGTAAAGAGGGATCCAAACTGCGGGTGATGCACAACAAAACATAGTTCTGAACATAAGTTAGGAAGAACATGGTACGAAAAGATTTCACTAGTCATCGTCCTTGATTCTTTTCAGCAGCCTAGCGGCCCACCGGCGTAGTCTTCTCTTCAGTGTGAAGCCCACCACGACACCGACTGCGAAGCTGACGGCGCTGATCTTCGTGCAAGTTGATAGAGAGACAACACGACCGCAATCCCATATGGATCATGAAAAACAAAAGCTTCCACAAATCTGTTGCAATACCACCCACAGCCGCGACGGCTACGGGCAAACGGCTCGCCGGCGCAGGTTGGCGGCGAGGGGAAGATGGCAGCGGAGGACGGATTCCGGCGACGGTGATCAGGTTGTGACCGAGAAAATTTTGGCGCGCCGTTTCAATTCACCGCTTCACGCGCGAATTGAGAGGCAAGCGGATGAGTTAGGGCGCAGAAGCTGCGAGACAGAGATACTTGGAGTGGGTGGGCAGGGCGAAGGCGAAGTCGCCGGCGCCATGGCCGTGGCCCTCGGCCGCCGCAGCCGCAAATCCGCGACCCTTACCCTCTCCTCCTCCACTAATATTACTCCTACTCCTATCCTACGTGGCATGTGTGGGGTCCACTCATACAACCAAACATTATAGTAGTAATTCAATCAGAATCTTGATTAAACATAGATACAAAATTCACTAAAAGAACCCTTTTGACAGCGGCTATCTTCCCAAGGGAGAACAAGGAGGCGGGCCGGCCGTACGGTGCGGCGTGCGGCGTGGACGTACGGACGCCACACCGTCGCCGGAGCGGTAGACACCCCGCCGGCAGCGGCGAGGAAGTGGACGTTGGATTGGTGATCACGAGTGCTCCAAAATTCCAAATACTCCCTAAATTAGATAATTTCTACAATTAGTTGATTTGCCTTTTCTATATGGACTTAAAACTTGCATCATCACATGTTCCATCGGTCCAAGCATTGATCAACTAACACAACAGCTAGCACAGCAGCAAGCGGTGGAGGAAACGAAGTGATCGATTTATTGTAGATATATAGGCGAGGTGATACACAAAAGCTCGATCAGTGACCCAAACAGCAAGAAAGGAGCATTACACAACTGAAACAAGTAAGATCGATATAGATACATTCGCGCCGATCTAGGGAGAAGCTGGCGCGGGAGGCGGCGATGTCGGTGTAGTTGAACGAACCTAGGTGTAATTACCAGAGCAGAGCCGCTCCGGTGAGGCCGACGGCGACGACGAGCGGCGCGATGGAGGCGATCATGATCTTCTTGCCGACGGCGGCACGGCGACCGCGTGGGTCGTCGGAGACCCAGATGGCCGCGCCAACCTGGCCCATTCCGGCGAGGAAGGAACCCACAAGAGCGAGGTGGTAGTAGGTGTTACCACCGTAGGCCGGCGGTGGGTCGCACGCGGCGGCCAGGTTGATGATCAGAGAGACCGTGGCGACGCCGAACAGCCCCAGCGCCGCCGCGATCTTGGAAGAAGCAGCGCCGTCGACCTCCGCTTCCCGGCGAGCAATGTCAGCCATCACCTGTGATGTATGGATCTTCCTATTATTCAGAATCAAATAAATCTAGGAAATTGAGAAGGTTGGAGCTTGGCAATTAGCAGAGATGCTAGAAAGATCAAGCTAGAGAGGAGTGTTGTGCCTGCGTGCCTTCAGTTTTGCCCTGGTTTATATAGCGGAGGGGAGGTGAGGAGAGATGACGGGCATGTGGCATTCTGTCCCCTGTCGTTTTCTCAGTCTCATATCTTTTGACTGTCGAATGGTCTCGCTCGTTTCTTATGTAAGAACCGGATAAAAATTTAGATACTCGTGGCACGTTTTTTAAACTGTTGAACGGTACGTTTCGTACGAAAACTTTATATATGAAGGTTGTTCTAAAATATTAAATTAATCAATTTTTTAAGTTTGTAATAATTAAAACACAATTAATCATACGTTATCAACACCTTATTTTATGTGAAACACTTAATATTTATCTTCATTTCATCTTCTATCCCTACGAGCGGTTTGTTTCTATCTGGGAATGATGTCATCGGTTTGTTTCTATCTGGGAATGATGTCATTCAGATGGTACAGACTTCCGGACGTTTCAGATGGTTTTTACATAGGAGATCGTGGTTAGTACCATAGAAATTGATAGCGATAGGAGCACCATATTGACTGGGAGACTTTCCTCGAAAAAAGGATATCTTTTATAACAGCGTGTGATGAATTTTCACATTTCCTCAAAAAAAAAACCGCACTGGACTACGATTGGTGACTAATATGTTCCACATTTCTCTATCCCCGTCTTGATCTTTTGGCTAATACTCCCTCTATCCCAAAATATTTGACGCCGTTGACTTTTTTAAAAATGTTTGACCGTTCGTTTTATTCAAAAAATTTAAGTAATTATTAATTCTTTTTCTATCATTTGATTTATTGTTAAATATACTTTTATGTATACATATAGTTTTACACATTTCACAAAAGTTTTTGAATAAAACGAATGGTCAAACATGTTTAAAAAAGTCAACGGTGTCTAACATTTAGAGAATGAGGGAGTACTTCCTTTTATCATTTTGTTGTCTTTCCCTATCGCCATCTTTCCACCTTTTTCTATTAATTGTCCCCATTGAGGGACCTAGCTAGCGTGTGGATCGCTTGATACATCCCATCGCCATCTTTCCATCTTTTTCTATTAATTGTCCCTATTGAGGGACCTTAGCTAGTGTGTGGATCGCTTGATACATCCCAGGGTCAATTTTTCATCACAGGAATGCGCTTTACATAGCCTACCATGCAACGCAACTGCTGGGATTTTAGGGATTATGGGAATGGTATCTGAAGATGTGGATACTGATAGAGTCAGCAGAACTAAATTAGGCAGCATAACCCACTTTCTCCGGTCCTTTGGATGAACCACACTTAGGGTTGAAAACGGAGCAGATAGTTTCTGTCCGCTCCGGAGGAAAACGAAAACGGATACCTCTCGGATCGGATATTTCTCGGATAGTTCGGATACGGATACGAATACGGATATTTTCTTCCGGATGCGAATACAAATATGGTATCGGGGTTTCCGTCGGATACGGATAATAATTCGGATGTCCGGTGAACAGTGCTATTCAGATATCCGCAGAAGCCATGAGACATACCTCATTTCTTTATAACTTTATGACCTTCAATATACCTTTTTACATTTTAATAGTAGTTCATCTCTTAAATCTAGTCCACACTATTAATATTATTTAAATTTTAAAAAATATTTATAAATTATACTATATTTTATATAAAATGAGCTAACTATATATGTTGATATTTTTTTATATTAGAAGTTAAGTTGGTTTTCGTGTTCCGAAAAAAAATTGTTTTCGTATTCGTGTCCGATCATATTCGATACTTATTTGTATTCGAGATAATCCGTATTTGTTTCCGTATTCGAGCTATCCGTATTCATTTCCATATCCAGCAAAAAATATGAAAACGAATATGGTATGAGCATTATCCGTCCGTATCCGCTCCGTTTTCATCCCTAACCACACTGGGCTGCAATGTCAAAAAAGGAAAAACCACACTGGACTGCGATTGGTTTTTTTTTTAAAAAATAATAATTCACCCGGGAGGGGGAGTTTCCCCACCTGTATTCATTTGAAAAGGGAGAGTCCAAAGGGTTTAGATCGTGAGGATTGCTCCCATCCAGCAGGTACCACGGTACTAGCCCAGTTCCAAATCTCAGCCATTCATTCAGCTCGATCGGACGGTGGAAATTATGCGGTAACTCAGTACATATTTGCCCATGAGGTGGTACCAGAATAGTTAGAGGGGTGGAAGGGTAATGTTGTCTTTTCACGTAGGGATGCGTTTTGAGTGGTGAAACTAGGGTTTTTACAATCCATCTCGATTCAGCTCTGATCCGTGAGAGGTGGCGGCGGTGCTGGACGGGAGCAACGCTCGGAGGACAGCGGCGAGGTGGTCCTTGGGAGGTGGCGGCGGCTGATCCGTAGGCGGCGGCGGCGAAGTGGGCGGTGGCGACAGCTGATTCGTGGGAGGCGGCGAGTAGGTGGTCCATGGGAGGCGGCGAGGAGGTGGTGGCTGGTCCGCGGGCTGCGGTGGTGAGGTGGTGTTGGCGGCGGTGTCCGGTGCTTGGGCCCGTGTCCGCGAGGTGGCGGCGGCGATGGCGTCGGCAGCAGGTGGTTCGTGGCGGGCATCCTTCTTCAACCTCTGGTTATTCTGTAGCACTGCCCACAGCTCAAGCACTCAACTGTTATGTTGAGAAAACGAAGGCAGAAGAGAGAAAATGAAGCTAGAGCTGGAAATGGCTGACCGGCTTTCAGACATGGAAAATTCATTCAAGAAGTTGTCCAAGCAGAAAAAAGAGACTGATGACATTAGAAATTGGTTCATAGGAATAGTAGTTGTAGCTGTGTTCCTTCTCATGAAGCTATTTGATAATATGTACTATGCTTGCCATTGTTGATTTTGTACATGTCAATTACCAGAATTAATGGATGGGGATCACCCAGCATGTTGATGTCTCAGCAACCAATCCATGTGAATTTTGTTTATCTATCTCCCATTGTCTGAAACTCTAAATTACAGCTTTTTGAGATGGGTTGTCTAACTTATCCTTCAGTTTTAGATTCTTGCTAAGTCCTAGTTCGTTCTGTTTGGCTGAAAATTTGCAGAACTCTGTTTATCTATCTCCCTGTTATGAAAATAGATGCACAACGGACACGAATTTTACATGGAAAACCCTTGCGGGAAAAAACTACGGACGCCGACCGGCAATGATTACTACAGAGGAGATGATTACAAACGTAGGGGAATCACAATGGGAACGTCACCCCTTCCTGTACGGCTTACAAGAGTATATATAGGGGATAAAAGAAAGACCTAATAGAAACTCCTACTATGAAACTAATCCGAATATATTGTGGGCCCAAAATTTGGATCACATATTTAACAATCTCCACCTTGAGACGAATTTCCTCTTGTAGCATAAAAACATCAATCACCAAAAATACCTCATGTAGGTAAAATCACCGCGCGCCAAATAGTCTCTAGGACTATACTGTAACACCAACCAAGCTTGAGCAAAACTCAAACTTAGTAGCAGGAATTGTCTTTGTCATCATATCAGCTGGGTTATCATGAGTACTTATCTTGCATACCTTGACATCATCTTCAGCAATCACACCTCGAATAAAGTGATATCTCACATCAATGTGCTTTGTTCTCTCATGGAACATTTGATCCTTTGTAAGGCATATTGCACTTTGACTATCACAAAATATATTAATGTAAGACGTAACTCCACAAAGCTCAGTGTACAAACCTCTAAGCTAAATAGCTTCTTTACAAGCTTCAGAAATAGCCATATACTCTGCTTCAGTAGTAGATAAGGCATCAGTTGCTTGCAAACTTGCCTTCCAACTAACAGCACATCCTCCAATAGTGAAAACATAACCTGTGAGCGATCTTCTCCTATCCAAATCTCCAGCAAAATCTGAATCCACATAGCCAACAAGTCCATCTCTAGATCTCCCAAACTGCAAACAAGCACTAGATGTACCACGTAGGTATCTGAAAATCCATTGAACAGCTTTCCAATGCTCTTTGCCAGGATTAGCCATGTATCTACTGACAACACTCAATGCATGTGATAAGTCAGGACGAGAACATACCATGGCATACATAAGTGAACCAACTGCACTTGAATAAGGAACTCTAGACATGTACTCAATATCATAATCTGACTGTGGACATAAATCTGAAGATAATCTAAAATGTGCAGCTAAAGGAATACTCACTGGTTTTGCATCATGCATATTGAAACGACGAAGAACTTTTTCAATATAACCTTTCTGACTAAGATATAAATTGCCAGAATGTCTTTCTCTAGTAATTTCCATACCGAGAATTTTCTTCGCTGCACCCAAATCCTTCATCTCAAATTCACTACTCAATTGTGCCTTCAACTTTGCTATCTCTGATTTGTCTTTTGCAGCAATCAACATATCATCGACATAAAGAAGCAAATATATAGCTGAACCATCAACAACTTTGAGATAAACACAACTATCATAATTGGATCTTCTAAACTTCTGAGAAAGCATGAAAGAGTCAAATCTCTTATACCACTGTCTAGGTGACTGCTTCAACCCATAAAGAGATTTCTTCAACCTACAAACTAGGTTCTCTTTTCCAGGAACAGCAAAACCTTCAGGTTGCTCCATATAAATGTCCTCTTCTAACTCCCCATGTAAAAATGCAGTCTTAACATCCATTTGCTTTAGTTCATAATCATGCATTGCAACAATACTGAGTACGGTGCGAATTGAACTATGCTTCACAACAGGGGAAAAGACATCATTGAAATCAATACCTAAAATCTGGCTATAACCTTTAACAACTAACCTTACTTTGTATCTTGCCTCATCACTTGGAGATATACATTCCTTTCTTTTGAAGATCCACTTGCAACGGATAGGTTTCTTCTCCTTTGGCAACTTCACCAATTCCCAAGTATGATTCTTTTCAAGTGACTCCATCTCATCATGCATAGCAGTTATCCATCTATTGCAATCGTCAGAAACAATAGCCTCAGAATATGTAGAAGGTTTGAATTACCTTCAATTTCTTCTGCCACACTCAAAGCATAAGCAACTATGTTCGCTTCTTCAATATATCTTTGAGGAGGTCTAGTATTTCTTTTAGGCTTATCTTTTGCAATAGAACGTTTTGGAGACTGCTGAACTATAGAAGAATCTGAATCTTCAATAACAAGTGCATCTTGGTTAATAGCAACATTTTCTTTTTCTGGTGCATGCCCTGAACTGATCAAGTGCTCCACCTGCACATTTGCTTTCTCCTGACTCTCAACAGGAACATTAGTAGAATGTTTGTCATGTAACATAACTGATTCATAGAAGACAACATTTCTACTAATCACAACCTTTTTGGTTTCAGGACACCATAACCTATAGCCTTTCACACCAGACGGATAACCAAGAAAAATGCACTTAATAGCTCTAGGCTCCAATTTACCATTATCAACATGAGCATAAGCAGTACAACAAAATACTTTTAAGTCTGAATAATTTGCTGGGGAACCAGACCATACCTCAATTGGAGTCTTCTTATCAATGGCATAACTGGGTGATCGATTGATAAGATAACAAGTAGTGGAAACGGCTTCCGCCCAAAACTGTTTGGGCAAACCTGCATTAGACAACATACAACGGGCCTTTGATATAATTGTCCTGTTCATACGCTCAGCTACGCCGTTTTGTTGAGGTGTGTGAGGAACGGTGTAGTGACGCACAATGCCTTCAGACTTGCAATATGATTTAAATATCTTAGAACAGAACTCCATCCCATTGTCAGTACGAAGGATTTTCACCTTCCTTTCAGTTTGTCTTTCAACCATAGTTTTCCACTCTTTTAAACACATCAAAAGCTTGATATTTGTGCTTCAAGAAATAAGGCCAAACTTTTCGTGAATAATCATCAACGATAGTCATCATGTAATGAGCACCTTCAAAGGATGTCTTACGAGCAGGCCCCCATAAATCAGAATGCACATAATCAAGTATACCTTCAGTAGTATGTGTAGATGTGTTGAACTTCACCCTCTTATGCTTGCCAAAGATGCAATGCTCACAAAATTTGAGCTTCCCGATGCTTTGTCCATCTAGCAATCCTCGCTTGCTCAATTCTGCCAAACCAATTTCACTCATATGCCCAAGACGCATATGCTAAAGATTAGTAGCATCGGAATTAGATAATGAATCAGAAACTGCTACAACATTACCTAATATAGTTGTACCTCGCAGATGGTATAGGTTGGCAGATTTAATATCAGCTTTCATCACAACGAGAGAGCCTTTGGTTACCTTCAAAATTCCGTCTCCACCGGAATATTTGTACCCTTTGCGATCAAGAGTACATAAAGAGATGAGACTTCTCTTCAAATTTGGAATATGCCGCACATCTGACAATGTTCTAATACAGCCATCAAACATCTTGATCTGAACTGTTCCAATACCTGCAACCTCGCATGGTGTATCATCACCCATCAAAACAGTACCACCTTGGACAGCTTCATAGGTGGCAAACCAATCCCTATTCGGGCACATGTGATAGGTGCATGCGATAGGTGCATGCAGTATCAAGAATCCACTGGTCACTAGTTTGTACACAACCAACATAAGCAACAAGCAATTCTGCATCAGACTTCTCATCAGTAACAACTGCGGCTTTACCTTCCTCTTCTTTCTTACCTTTTGGTATATACTTTCCGGTTCTTTTGTCTTTGTCCTGTAGCTTCCAACATTCAGAGATATCATGTCCATCTCTCTTGCAGTATTTGCATGACTTATACCTACCTCTGGACTTTGATCTCCCACGGTAGCCACTTGAACTTTTATCTCTTGATTTGCTGTTTGTGTTCTTCTCCTGTTGCCTGCCCCGAACAACCAAGCCTTCTGCTTGCGAATTTGAACCTTCAGAGGGTACCATCTTCTTCATCTTTTCTTTGGCATGCAAAGCATCATAAACTTTTTTCAAAGTTAGAGTATCACGACTATAAAGTATAGTATCCTTGAAGTTTGCATATGAGCTAGGCAATGAACACAATAAAATAAGGCCTAAATTCTCTTCATTATACTTTACCTCCATAGACTCAAGGTCAGCAACAATTTCCTTAAAAGTGGAGAGATGGTCCATTACAGACCCATCATCTTGCAACTTGTGCAAAAATAACTTTTGCTTCAGGTGCATCTTACTGGTCAGATCCTTAGTCATGCATATCTGTTCCAGCTTCAACCACAGCCTAGCGGCTATCTCCTCCTTAAGCATCTCCTGCAAAATATTATTAGATAGATGAAGATGAATATATGACATAGCCTTATGATCCCTTTTCTTCTCATCGTTGGACCAATCCTGTGTCTTCTTGTCAAATCCAGAAAGTGCATCATCGAGGTCTTGTTGTGCAAGAACGGCTCGCATCTTCACTTGTCAAAGTGAGAATCTTGTGTGTTGGTCCAGGAGCGGTAGATCATACTTCAAACTCGCTATGGGAATTAATCCTGAATTTGCTAGAAAGAAATTAGGGTAAATCTAGCAAAAACGCGAACCTCTGGTGCACTTTCCGTGTGCACGAAGCGTAGATCAGGGTATCTCCTGGTACACAAGCTTAGGTGGCCGTAGCAATTCCCACTTTGAAAAAATCAACCGGATCAGAAATCTCTCGGTAGATTATTTTTGTTTTCTCGGGAACTGTGCGCTGGTTGGATGGATTGGACGCTGTTGCTCCTCCTGCTTTTCTGCTTCTCCCGCGCGGCTTCCACGCGGCACTGCTGCTGCTCCTGCGTGGATGCGCAGGGCGGTCAGGAGGACGGCAAGTCGGCAACTCGACGACACCAACGAACGACGAGCGCCGCCGCCGCCGCTGATCAGATTGATTCTCCGATCCCAAAAACACCGGTGGCCGCGTGATTAGTAGATTGATGTCCAATGCTATGATACCACTTGTTATGAAAATATATGCACAACGGAGACACGAATTTTACGTGGAAAACCCTTGCGGGAAAAAACCATGGATGCCGACCGGCAATGATCACTACAGAGGAGATGATTACAAACGTAGGGGAATCACAATGTGAACGTCACCCCTTCCTGTACGGCTTACAAGAGTATATATAGGGGGATAAAATAAATACACCTGATAGAAACTCCTACTGGGAAACTAATCCGAATATATTGTCACATATTTAACACTCCCACTGTCTGAAACTCTGAATTACAGCTCACTAGTACGAGTATGTTTGTTTCAGTCTTTCAGAATCATGTAAATTATACTTTTTTTCAGCAATTATTGCCCATGTGTCTAGCACTTTACTCCAGTGATTCCTCAACTTTTAGATCTCTAGCTGGATTGCTGTTCATTGAAAACACTTGTTTGTAACCATTGTTGTGCTGCTGATCACTCCGCAGAATGACATGTATTTTACAGGAGATCGAGCAAAAACAGCAGACAAAATATTAATGGCTCTCAATACGACATATATATCATGCTCTGTTCACAGCAGACAAAAATTATGTCAAAAGCTCCATTCAACGATAGATCATGCCCTGTAAACAGCATAAAAAAAACAGACGACAGATGAGCTTAAAATTTTCCATTCAAAGATTAAAGTCTCCAGCAAAAGCTTGTGCTTTTCTCACAAATTCATTACAAGAAACATGGCAGATTGAATTGTTCATTACAAAATAACTAGACCATATAGTGGAGCAGTGTTTGAGCCGTAATGGGGGCCTAGGCTGCGCCGATGGCAGCGGGGGAGGTTAGGTACTTGCTTGAGCCGTCGAGGGGGGGGGATAGGGGACACAGAATACCACGGCACCTTCGCTCGTGAATGCGGCGGCGTTGCTGGTGACGGAGCGCGTCGGTGGCTTCGCTGCCGCGGACAGCAGATGGATGGGGAAAAAATGGGCACTGGCGGAGGCGTGGATGCGGGGCGAGCGCGCCGTTTCTCCAGCACCGCGGCGCGGACGGTAGATGGATGGGAAAAAATCGTCCAGCGGGGCGTGGATGCGGCGCAACTGCTCCGTTTCTGCGCTCGGAGGGAGGAATAGATGAGAAAGAAGCGATGCGGGGAGGGAGGAAAGAAAGAGCGCAGCTAGGGAGGAAAGCGGCGGCGTGACTCTGGAATCGTTCCGCTTCTCTTTTCTGTTTCCCAATCGTATCATTTCAAGATGGACGGCCAGATTTGATCTTGTACCTCCCGGTACTAGTACCGTCTGGTACAGGCTGCCGGACGCCGACGGGAGTAAAACTCTTAGATCATTATTACTCTCTCCATCCCATAAAAACCAACCTAGTACTATTACGAATCTGGACATACATATGTAGATTCATCGTACTAGAATATATCAGTACTGATTTGTTTTTTATGGGACGGAGGGAGTACATGTTTAGAGTTCTGAGTGAGGAGGAGAAAAGATCTTTCTAGGAAGAAATTACAACTCTATCATCGAGCTTAATACGTTCCGCCCAAAGAGTCACATTTTTAATGCAATTCGTCAACAATCTATGAAGAGACAGAGCTTCATTTCTTAAAACCACTCCATGCCTGTGATTCCAAAGATTCCAAAAGCAGAGGAGGTAAAAGACCTGGAAATGCTTTGGGGGAATGTGAACTGGTGGTAGAAGGGCAGCCAGGTCTCTCGTCGTCGAAATGTGGACTGCGATTGGTGGCTAATATGTTCCACATTTCTCTATCCCCGTCTTGATCTTTTGGCTAATACTTCTTTGATCTTTTGGTTAATACTTCCATTTTGTCGTCTTTCCCTATCACCATCTTTCCACCTTTTTCTATTAATTGTCCCTATTGGGGGACATAGCTAGTGTGTGGATCGCTTGATACATCCCAGGGTCTATTTTTCATCACAGGAATGCGCTTTACATAACCTAGCTACCACGCAACGCAACTGCTGGTTTTTTAGGGATTATGGGAATAGTATCTGAAGATGTGGATACTAACAAAGTCAGCATAACTCAATTAAGCAGGAACTCAAAGCACATCAACGACACTGTCTTTCAAACCCCAAACCCCAAGTGCCCAACAACCACAAGCTATGCCGACCAGATCCTGGCCGAGGACGGCCGGCGCACTAATGTTATAACCATGTTAAACTCTCAAGGAACTACAAAAGCCTTACAAGAGAATTTGCCTATGCCTCTTCTAAACAACTCTTCTGACTAAATGACATTCCAGAAAATTAGTACACACACCAGTCTCCACATACACACAAATATAGACCATGGCAATTATACGTTAGGTTGATTTCCTCATTATACCAGTGATCCACAATTACCGGAGGATAGAAAACACCAACTTCGGAGTACTGTACGATCGCTCAAATGTGCATGAATTTTCACCGAACATACCAAATTGCTTGATCAAGTCCTGATACCGGGTTTAACAACAGAACCTCCACCATGCTACCATCTTCTGCCAGCAGAAATGCATTTAAGAGCAACTGAGCAAATGGTTAACAATGCCATAGCAGTCTGTGTGCTTAAATAGAGAGATCTCTCCTGGCAAAGTTATGTATCACACAGCTATGATGCATTTCTTTTGCTGCTCTTTGACAGGTTATACATGCCTCTAAAATCAGAGCAGATGCATCTGGTCTTCTTACAACTCAACATCCCCCTACATAAAAGCAAAACCATATACTATCCGTTAATAAAGAGCTGTTAAAGATGGTAAAAATACATGTGCAAATCTGTTGTTCAATACATGAAAAAGATAATGACACAAGGATGATGATTCTTTCAGAAGTATATTAAAATTTACCAACTCTTTCCATTATACTTGCACTTTAAAGGAACCTGCTATTCCTATTCATTTTGACCAAAAAAAAAAAAGTAGACAAGAATAAGCAAAAGATTTGCTCATCCTTTGTACAAGTGGAGATTGATTTACAATATGCAATTCCATCACTCAGAAGAACAACACTTACATAGTACACATTTTAAAAGTTGAATATTTTTTACGAGATGATTTATGGTGTTTCAAAGGTGCCAAATGTCCTCTGCTCTGGTCCTGCTACGTCTTTCTCCACTTGCTCCTAAGTTTCTAGGGATACCTCTAGACCCTAGTACTCTTGGGTTGTCATGCCACAATTCATCAAGACAAAAAAGGTCATCTCGAACAATTCATAAGAGTTAAACATTACGAGATGCTCTCAAGGGTTTAGCAACAAGTCAAAACACGGACACTAACTACTATCAACCAGAGCATATCACAACAAAATATACAGCTCAATACACTGCTTTTGACATCAAAACAAAGGAATTATAGATGTAATAGAACAGTAGAGGGATAAGCTTATTCTTAGAAGTTTAACAAGTAGAGTATAGTGAAAAGAGAAAAAGGCATTAAGAAAATATCTCAAGAGTGTGTGGATTGACATGTATGAGTTATCCTGCGTTGCCCTGAGGCCATTTGACATCAAAATAAACACATAGAGTTCACAGTCCACAACCTATCAGGCAAAACGATAGCCATATCCATGTATTAAATATGGCTGCACCATTGGGCATAGTAGAATTTTAGTTGAACTCAATGTCCTGTACAAACGGATTTACAAAAGTCTATTGGTTCAGATAGAGAGCGCATGCACATAGCATGCCTGTAGCTCGAATGCATACCTCACATTTATTATAAGAGTAAAAAAACAGATGAGTTCCTGCAAATTTTGCAATTACTTAAGTTTCAGCTATGGAACAATGGAAATCAGCACAGCAGAGAAACCAGCACTTTAATTTTGTTTACATAAGGGTTGTTGAAAGAAGCAATGTGTTTCTAGCAAATATCCCATTCAGCTCTAATTACATGAACCACCAATAGCAGCATATAATCAAGTACAAATCATGTATAACAATGCCAAAAATTTAATAACTTTACAGCAAATCAAATAAATAATCAGAGCAGGATATAACGGCCATAATAGCTTAGCAAACTAATTGGATTGTACTATAACACATGGTTGCTGAAATACATCTCTTTTCTCTTCCCATTAGGAGGGGACAGCCCTCGTTTTTACTTCCATTAAAACAGAACAAATCATATTGAACCACTCACAAGAAGATCAACATGACAAGATGCTCAATGCTTCAGCAACTTAACTAAAAGGGCATACTGGAACTAAATATGCACCGATAGTATCATAGTAAAGATCAAGTATTGCGATTAACAAGAAGCACATCACACCCAACCAAAGACTAATATCAGTCTTTAAACATAAGGAATTAGATGTAACTGGACAGCACAGAGAAAACCTTACACTTTGCGTTTTAAGCAGCATACTGAAGAGAAAATGGTATCTACGACAATATTTGGGGACCTAGTGTGTTGGATCGCTTGATACAATTGATAATATGTCTCCCAGGGTCTATTTTTCATCACAGGAATGCGCTTTACATAACCTACCACGCAACGCAACTGCTGGGATTTTAGGGATTATGGGAACAGTCAGCATAACTAAATTAGCAAGGAACTCAAAGTCAAAGCACATCAACGATGCTGTCCTCCAAACCCAAGTGCCCCCTAACACCTACCACAAGCGATCCCCGACCAGATCCTGGCCGAGGACGGGCGGCGCAGGTTCGCGCGGCGAGGGGCTGGCCGGAGAAGACGAACCCCGGCGATGGCGACCGGAAATCCGTGGACGGGCGGAATCTCGCGCGCCGCACGGGCTACCGCCTCGATCAACCACCGCCGGAAACGCGATAGCACAGTCAGTGGAGAGAGGGGTGGGGATCAATCAGGCGTAGATGCGGAGGCGGAGGCGGAGCAGCCGACCTCACCGGCAAATGGTCGCGTGAGATCTCCATGGCCGTAGCCGCCGCCGCCGCCGGCAACGCAAGGACAAAGGTCATGGATATGATACGGCATGTGGGCCCCACTTAATATGGCCCACCATTCCCTCTCTTCTAACAGTTGCCTCCAAAAAAAAAGAAAAGAAAAAAAAAGGAGAAAAAGATGGGCTTTTAGCACCAGAAGGACACGACGGCCGACAAGGCAAACTTCCAGAACTATTCAGCGTCGGCGGCGACGGCGAGCGGCGCCGATATGCATGGAGTACTCCAAATCCACTCTTCCCTAAATGTAATTAAGCCAAAAACTAGTACTGCATAGCTCCCCTTTGAATCACCATACTTCAAATTGGGAGATATGAACTCATAATTAACAAAACACTCGTCGATTAAGCCGGCCATCAATCGAATAACACTTTGACAGACCAAGAACAGGAGACGTGATCATACATATGTGATACACACAATGGACTAGAAGAAGAAGAAGCAAGCACTATTACATGATGATACTACAACTCCACGAGACATAACACATGACGGAGCGATCGACCAACAAAACAAACAAATGAACAATACAAATGGAATAATTAAGATTGCATTTGATTGACACAAGGAGCACGCTAGGGACGGCCGGCTTGGCTCCGATCATGGCGGATAGTAATGCGGTCGGACAGGGGCTTGTACATGCTTACCAGAGCAGCGCCGCCACCGATAGAACGACGGCGGCGAGGAGCGGCGGGACGGCGGCGTAGAGGAGCTTCTTGCCGGTGCCACGGCGGGCAGCTGGGTTGTCAGAGACCCACACTGAAGTGCCGACCAGGGCCACCCCGCCAAGGAAGGTCCCTGCGAGCCCGGCGACGGCGAGATGGTTGTAGGTGGTGGTGCCGAAGCCGCCCGGCGGCGGCTCGAACGCCGCGGTGGCCAAAGTGGTGGCCGTGGAGATGGCGGCGACGCCGAGCGCGCCCAAAGCTGAGGCCTCCGGTTCGCGGCGAGCATCACCCAGCAGTAGCTTTGCCGCCGCCATTAGATCTCTCGATCGATTCGTGGCTGCCCGACTCGATCCTGTGGGGAAGGCTTGGTTTCCTGGAGAGAGAGAGGAATATATAGTGATAACCCCGCGGACGCAAACGAAACGACGACATTCGACGGATTTTGCATGTAGTAGAAAATTTTGCACAATGGGCAAAATAGTAAAAAGATCACGACCTACCAAACCTGACATAAAACTGAAAACGACATTCAACGGATGGAGTAGTCAAGAGAAAGACCCACATGGCATTCCAATCGCGGGCTCGCGGCGCGAGTGCTCGATCTAGTGCCACTGACATAATGGGACCTTCTGTACTGGGCCCACTTGTCATCCAGTCATTCCAAGGTACTAATAACCCTTCAGTTTACGTTCTGCGCTACGGTGGAGAGAGATTAGAGAAGCTTCTGCGAAGGGCGAACGCACATAGATAACCCTGCAGTTTACGTTCGGCCTTCGGGTACACGTCGACCCGTCCCGTGCTCTTTTTATTTTGTTCGGGGCACACGTTCGGGACGGGGTCCGCCGCCCCCCGCCCCGGCGCGACTGAGCGATTTTTCCGGGTTTTTTTCGTTTCTCCTGTTTTTCCTTTTTCCATTTTCGTTTCTCTTCTGTTTTTCTTTTTTGTTTTTTCGTTTCTCTTCTGTTTTTGGTTTTTTCTTTTTTTAATGTACGTATTACAAAGTTTGTATTTGTGTGTATACCAAGTTTGTATTCATACGTATACAATCTTTGTATTCGTATTTTTTTCTCTCGGTTTTTAATATGTAGATATACAAAGTTTATATACACGTATGCAAAGTTTATATACGCATATGCAAAGTTTGTATACGCGTATGCAAAGTTTATACACGCGTATATAAAGTTTGTATATGTGCATATTTTTTATACATCGATTTTTTGGTACACATAAAAATTATATATACACGTATGTATATACTTTATATATATATGCATAAACTTTATATTATTTAATACAAAATTTATATGTATATATACAATAATACAAAGTTTAATATACAATATATACATATTCATATATACATGTAGTAGTAGCAGTAGTAGTGTATGAGTTGTAGATTTGTAGTAGTAGTAGCAGTAGCGTATGAGTAGTAGTGGTGGACCTGGTGGTCGCGCGCCCGCGTGACCGCGCGACTGATCGCGCATTAGGGGCACCCCCCTCCCCCCTGTATGCTCCCTCCTCTCCCCCTTCTTCTCTTCCTATTACACCACTAAAAAAATAAAAAATAAAGTTGAAAAAGTTTATGTATAGAAATATTATATATAAAAAATATTTGAATTCAAATTTAAATTTAAAACGGGTATGTAAACTTTTGACTTATAAACTTTGGATCTATAAACTAATATTTGAATTCAAATTCAAATTTGAAACGGGTATGTAAACTTTTGACTTATAAACTTTGGGTTAATAAACTTTAGGTGTATAAACCTTAGATGTATAGAAATACTATATATAAAAAATATTTGAATTCAAATTCAAATTTGAATCGGAAATATAAATTTTTGACTTATAAACTTTGGGTCTCTAAACTTTACATGTGTAAACTTGAGGTGTATAAATTTACTAAAATAAGAAAGTAATGTGGTGCCAAAAAAGCAAACCACGTGGAGGAGGGGGTGATCGCTCAGGGCGATCGATCGCCCCTTAGCAATCTGATTTTCAGCCCACAAATTTTCCATAAATATATATATCTTTATCTTTACCTATTATAAAAGTTTAAGATGTTTTTTCCAACTTTTTTTCGTACGTTGTACCTGGGCGCGCGGTTCGATTCCCTCCCGTACGCAAAACAGACAACTCTATGGTTTGCTATATGGCTTAATTCTAAGGTCGATACGATGCGATTTTGCTCTAATTATTGAAAAAACGGAAAGAGAAGGAGATAAGGATTAAAATCCCTCAATCAATTTTGTTTTATCTCCGTGGATGTGGAGGGATTTCACGAAGGGGATGGTTTCCGACAGTGTTGGGAAGCTGCGGAGTTGGACGGAGGTAGGGGACGACCATGTAGCACTGGGACCCACGCGACAGCTAGAGGAGGAGAAGGGACACTAATTAGACTTTGTGGTTGCTTGATGGGCTGGATGCGCGCTTGCAGGTCGAGGTGGAAGGGAGGAGAAGTCAGGTTAATGGGCTGGCTTTGCTACGGGCTAAAGAAAGAATGGGCTCAAAATGGCCCAGGGAGAAAGGAGGGTTCTCATTTAAATAAATGATAAAATGATGTTTGTATTATCAAAACTAGTTGGGTTGCCCGCGCAATTGCACGGCTAGCACCCAAACAAAATAATATATTTTTTAGTATGATTTTACTAGCTATCTCATTGTCTTAAGACTTTGAAAGACCAAACCTTATCATCATCGTGTTTTTAATCATATAGTTTTTAAAAATCACACCAGTTGCTATCCCTCATGTCATCTCCTTCTTTATTTGCTTGCTCGATCTACCACTATTTCTATTCATTCTTCGTGGAACCTTTAAAAATTGGATTTTATAGTTTTTAGAGTTTATTGTCACGTTGGGTTTCATTTTTATAATTTCTAAATGTCCCGTCAAACGTTGCCATTATACACCTCTACAGCCCGTCCACTGTCTCTTCTCTTTATTGTTATTGAGATTTTAAAAATCGAACATAATTATCGTTTAGGTTCATTTTTACTTTCTAGAAGTACCGCCAAACCGTGAGTGGCTTTGCCATTGTACTCCTTTATGGCTCACCCGCTGCTTCCCTTCTTTGTTGTCATTGAGATTTTAAAATCGAATATGATTATCATTATTTTTTTTTTACTTTTTAGAAGTTCCGAACCTTTAAAAATTGAAATTGTAGTTTTTTATTTTCTAGAAGTCCCGTCAATATTGCTTATATTTAATTCCAAAGTTTAGCTATTTTTAAATTGTATTTCTACTTGACTCTCCTTTCCTATTCTAATTTTGGATTTTATTTTATTTTTATTTTTAATTTTGATTAACCTCATATTGGGTTCTTATATGGAAACTTCTTTCAATATTGCTTATTTTTAATTCCGAATTTCAGCTATTTTTAAATTGTACTTCTACATGGACTCTCATTTTCTTTTTTTCTTTTTATCCGATTAATGTGGGAATTTCTAGCTCACATAGCGAACGTAGTGCCTCCTTTCAAAACTATTTTTAATAATATAATTGTCATTGAGATTTTAAAAATCGAATATGATTATCAATGGGTTTTTTTTTTTACTTTCTAGAAGCTCCGGCAACCGCCTTACTCGTTTGCTTCACGGCCTGCCTAACATCCCTCCTTTTAATTGTCATTAGGATTCTATTTGGTGCTTTATTAATAATTTTTATATGTCGTATCAACCGCCACCACTCTATTCCTTTATATGCATGTTACTTAATTTATCTCGTCATGTGTTTTATTTTAGATGGTCTTTTCTTTCAAAAATCTTTATTTTTATCAAAAAATTTGGTTATTTATAAATTGTATTCCTAATTGAAATCTTATTTTCCTTTTTCTAATTTCAGAATTTTTTTTAAAAAAAATAGTTAATACCGTATTGTGTTCTTTTAATATTTTTTTTTATTTTCAATTTCAATTGTTTCAAAATTATATTTCTACTTGAACTTTCTTTTAGTTTTTCTAATTTTGGATATTGTTTTATTTTGTATTCCAAATTTTAATTAATCTCGTATTGGGTTTTTATATGGAGTCTTCTTTCAATATTGCTTATTTTTAATTCCGAATTTCAGCTAATTTTAATTTGTATTCCTACTTGAACTCTTCTTTTATTTTCTTTTGCTAATTTCGGATTTATTTATTTTTATTCCGAATTTTAATTAATCTCGTATTGGGTTCATATATGGACTCTTCTTTTAATATTCCTTATTTTTAATTTCAAATTTCAGCTATTTTAAAATTGTATTCCTACTTGACTCTCATTTCCTTTTCTATTTTTGGATTTTATTTTTTTATTTCGAATTTGGTTTAATCTCGTATTGGGTTCTTATATGGAAACTTCTTTCAATATTGCTTATTTTTAATTCCGAATTTCAGCTATTTTTAAATTGTATTTCTACTTGGACTCTCCTTTCCTTTTCTAATTTTGGATTTTATTTTATCATTATTCCAACTTTTGATTAATCTCGTATTGGGTTCCTATATGGACTCCTCTTTCCATATTGCATATTTTTAATTCCGAATTTCTGTTATTTTTAGATTGTATTTCTACTTGGACTCTTCTTTTCTTTTTCTCCGATTAATGTGAGAATTTATAGCCTCCACAGCGAACGTGGTGCCTCCTTTCAAGGCTGTTTTAATAATATAATAGATAGATAGATAGATAGATAGATAGATTAGCAATGGTGCTCTACTGCTCTGAAAATACCGAAGAAATTTCACATAGTGTTATTAATCATGGAGAGTTTAATAAAAATTAAATCCAGCTATAGTTTATTTGGAAAATTTTATTTTCCACATTTAACTTATTTTTAAGAGCTTTTTTTCTTCAACATCATATACACGTATAGTTGCGATTTTATATTTAAATTAATTACATAATATAAATATTTCTTAACCTTTACGTAAATTTCTCATGTTTTTTTCCGTTGCAATGCACGGGTATTTTTTTCTATATTTATTTTACTTCGGTTCTCTCAACTCGTTTC